CTCGTTGATGGCGGGTTCGACGATTGGGTAAAAAAGGGTCATCCAATCAGCAAAGATGACGTTAAACTGCAAGTGAGTTCACAGTTACATCTCAAAATTCTCATGGTAAACTACGGGTAAAGGATAACCCAAAGGAGAAAGTGTCATATGAATTTTTCCTGGAAATAAGCAGAAAACCACCGAAAGCACCATTATAAGGTACTCCTTGTTGCAATTCATTCTAAACCGGGAAACGAAGAATCATTAGGACCGTTGGGCAAGACTAGACAAGAGGGCGAGCGAACGGTAGCAAGATCGACGCGGAGAGGAGGCGCATGCGCTCAGGTGGAGCCACTTGAGCTACCGTGCCTTGAGTCCCCGCTACTAAAAGCTTGGTGACACGGAACTGATGGGTTGTTGAGGACTACTGCGACCCACACTACCTTTCCCCACACAGGATTTCGATCCTTATGAGCAATCGCAAAATGAGCCTTTGAAAAGAAACGAACCCAGCGATTTCGAGACTCTCTTACCTTTTTGCCTGAAGGTGTGGGTGTAGATGCTAATCGGTTCGCCGACAAACATGGAGATAATTAGAAAAATGGAATTTTTTCAGCGAGTGAAAGTTTCGACGAGGTCTCGCTCGCCCACATAACAGTCTTATCACTTATTTTGCCCTGTTGTGTTTGTTTCTATTTTCGAACTACTGCCGCGTTTAATTTATCAGGAACCCGTTACCTTCTACTGCCCATAATACCCATGAAAAGGCGAAAAGGCGAACACGGCTTGTTAAAAAGGAGGGGGACATTTAGGGCCAGTTAGATCCCCTTCTCGTGAACTCAACTGGGAGTCGTGAAACTTCCACATCTTGACAGAAGCAGGAGGACTGAACGAACAACGCTATTGAGGCCTAGTTTTCCTTATGGGCAGCTGGCATGAAATTTCGTACTCGGCCTAAAATGCTAGCAGGGCGCTATATAGTGGGAAATGGCGAAAAACGGAGTGAAACGGTCAAAATCCTGCGAAGAAAAAGCCGTCGCTCATTATAATTTAAAATCGATTTCGGACGAGTTTCCCGTAGGCATCTTGCCAATAACCGCTACCGAAGGTACGGCTGCACGTATGTACTCATATATCCATGCAGCACCGCAGCCGCTTCATACCAATCCCTTCACATTTTATCTCGCAAATAAAGCAATATGAGCGTCAAGAATGGCCGTCCATTGATAGGTGGGCGAGCGTGGTACGCGTCGGTATGTTGTGAGGGGCCTTATAGGTGCACCTTCCTTAGGGAAGGCGCTACGCAGTGCCCGCTCAAGGGGCCAGATTCCGCTTCCTGATAGCCATTAATTAATAGGTTTTCATCAAACTTGGTTTCCGCGGATTGATTCGGCTGACACGAGAACATTAGTCCCTTCTCTATTTAGCATTTTTTTCAAATTCTGTAAAGCTATATGAAGTTACGTAATGGTACGAATTCCTGGGAGACGATATGTAGTGCCTGGCAGAAAATAAATTAAAGGGAGCGGTACCCTGCACAGAAGCGTGCTCTTCGTTCTTAGGCCATGAGTGTGAACCACCTTCGATAAAATGCGGAGAGCACTTTCTGCAGGAAGATTTTGTTTCAAGATCTCAACCACCTCGAACCCTTGCTCACAGGTCCTTGAAAATGGATCATATTTCAGTTGACAAGGGAATTCAACGAAATGCCTAACATATCCACGTCTGTGAATTTTTTTCCTGACCACAAAGTTTTGGCGCCATTTGCAGACTCCAGCTCCAATGTCGAAAAGTCGGACCAGCAATGGGGGTAGAAGCAGATTGTCCGAAAAATTTTGCAGGAAGGTGGCTTGATGGTTGTATCACATTCTAATCTTTTTCATTACATTGCTCCGACTGACTCTGTATGTTTGCGAAAAAAAACTGGAGTAACAAATTATTACCTGGTAAGAACAGCAAATAGAAAGACAACCACAAAGGAAAAAGAAGACTACAGCTATTACCGCATCTAGTTTCCGCAGTGCAGATATCGAAAACCGATTTTCGAAATAGTGAAAGAGAATTAGATATCGGTATAGCTCTGCTCATTTTTATTTCTTTTTTCTTTTTTTTTATCAAAGCAGGTGGCAAGATAAATTCTCAAGACCTGCAGGATTAATAGGCTCAGGAGGACGAAATTCAGCGCCTCTGAGCAGGCCCTGGCGTGGCTCCTTTTCCAAGGGCGGTACCCTTATAGCGCCCTATCAAGCCGCAATATAGCGACAGGGATGCTAACTGCGCCCGTCCTTCCAGAAATTCTGATCGATGCTGATGCTCATATCGCTTCAATTGTGAGATACATTATAAAGCGGTGCAATGCTGCAATGCTGCGATGCTGCATGGATATGTATGAGTACATCTAAATCGGACGAAAGGTGTCAGGCGGGATGAATTTGGCGCGGTGCCAGACCCGTTCTCCAGCTGTTGTTCAAGCGAGCAAATGACATGACTGTATCATATCGTTCGTATCACTCGTTTTCTACCAATTGTTGTCGCATACCGCTTCAGCAACTGGCAGAGAACGGGTTTGGCGCCGTGGCACACTCATACTGCCTGACACGCCCCTTCATCCGCACTGCACTACAGTATACATGCAGCCGTGTCTACGGTAGCGTTTATTGACAAGATGCCAACGGGAACCTCTTCCGAAATCGCTTACTGACTTGTTCAGAACAGAGGTTTTTGAGCTTTCCACTTCGCTTTTCCGCCATTTTCCCCAGCACATGACACCCCTGCTATAATTTTAGACAGGGTATTAAATTATCGTGCTTTATGCCTTTTGAAATCCCACTCTATCACATTTCTGAGGGAAAAATCGTTCAAAAGCATAGTATCAAGGAGCGTCATGGTTTTGTGTATTCAGCGTGGAACGTGGAAGGCGACCGATAACGTGGCCAAGTGCAACATCAAATTCGAACAACTGGAAGAACAACATGGGGATAGGAAATACATCGAGTGGACGGATGATGTGAGGTGGCGGGTCATACCAGTAACTGCCTATGAAATCAATCGTTGGGAATGAGAAGAGTTCTTTGCAGATAAACCTGCTCGATGCTCGAGGTCGCGGTAATTTTGAAGGCACTGTTCCCTCCACTCCCCCACCAGGTTAGTTGGTGAAGTGCTATGCTACTGATTGTGGAACTTCAAGGACTTTTTTTCTTTGCACGTAATTTACCTAGGAGTGAGAGGTACGCATATTCCTGGTTTCAAGAATTTCCCAGCAGCGGAGTTGGTCGAGGAGGGCCTAATGCGAGACAACGACGAAATCCGCAGCTGTGAGTTTACTTAAGTCAGACCTACAGTGTGGCGGAAACTCCGATAACAAGATAATGGCAAGAAATATTTTTATTGAAGCACATCAA